ATGACATGGACTGTACAGAAGTCTGGTGCAGATTTAATCAAGGATGACGGTACATCAGGAGGCTTAAGTTTTCTACAAGGTTAGAAAAAAATTCTTCTATTTAAAAAGTTCTTGAAGTACGAAAGTTTTGATGCATTATTGGAGGGGATAAGACTTGTATTAACCTCATTATTGCATTTCTGTTCGAATTGCCCACGACAATGTTCTGGATGTTGTTTGCAGATATGTACTCTATGATGGCCTTAGAGACATCGTCCTCTTCGAGAACTACCTCAGTCATTTGTATCTGAAAGGGTTCAAGAGGTAGAGATTTCTCTTAGCCATTAGATTATGAAGAACTTGTGTATTTTTTTTAAGTGCATGGCTTAGCCGAGATATGTGCTATCAGAAATACTATATAAAGCCAGCGCATTATATACTGAAGAAAGTAGATACACAATGCTAAATGTTATGTGTTTCTCATATAACGGACCATTTCAATTTCGTAAAACGAAATATAATCACAGAACTGCACAATTATCAAATAATAAATAAATAACAAACAATAAATATAATACAATATTTAAAAACCAAATTCCAAACAATTTACTGGCCGCTCTACGTTTTGGACCTGTACACGGATCAATTGTATGCCATCAGACACTCAACAATGCCTGCGAGTTGAATGGAATGAATCGTGACCGTTCGGTTGATACGAAGAGTATCAAATAATCTTCTATAAAGAATAGTTCTATGGCAGTATAAATCATACATAATCAGACAACTTGTTGATTTTTTAGGTTCCGATATTAAGACTCCAGAGTCAACAACTGTATTGTAATATGTATCCACAGAAGTGCATAATGTAACCTCTCCCCACAACAGCATATAACCATACTGCCTTCTTCTGTGTTATCAACGATAACAGTTTAGGAAATTTTTCCTGAAAGGAAATAGGTTAAATGCAGATATGCCCCCCACACAATAAGCAATTGACTACTTATGTCTCCTAATTTGTTCTATTAGCAGTTTGAACCGATCGATGTTCCCAAAATAAATTACCTTCACGTTATCTATATACCTCACCTGTCACGTGGGTGTCAAATGACATTTCTGCGTTGCAGAGAGGTACCATGATTGCAGAGGGACCCCTTCTTATTACTGTTGAGCACACACTTCTTACGGTACAAGTACAAATAACAAAGAGATGATCGATTCCGTAGCGACGTAATGGGGTCTAAGCACTAAAAATAGATCAGGGTAATAAATGACTCACTTCATGTACTGCAGGTGGAGTATCTGCAATTCACCTACGTATATCACATGCTACAATGGCATTAACAAGGATGGTATTTCAGGGATGAGTATAGATATATACCCCTTTGCGAGCACAATAGCCTTTGAAGGGGAAAAATAACTGCTGCATCTCTGCTTCAGTTTGCTCTCTGGCGGCCTCAGCACTGTGTCCAATCACCGAAAAACCAACTGCAAGGACGCACAATAGAAAAACACCATGATGTTTTTGTATTGATGTCTTAAAATAATACATCAAGCTGGGCAAAACTGTATTTGGTCTACTTCCACCTACATGTCGCGGTCCTTTTCAGTTATGAATTTAATGATAAGTTCCGACTATCGAACACTTAAATTGCATGGTTTTTCCATCGATCTATATACCCCTGAAATCTATGGTATTTTTTGATCTAATCTCCAAATCTTCGTGTTTGCCAATTTTCTCCTAATTTCTAGTTAAATATTTAAGCTACCTTCGAACGTACGTATTGTTTTGAGGTTAATTAAATTCGCAGATACGAAGGTTAATTCAAACATTACACTTGGTGATACCACAGATTCGAAGGGCATACTGGTGAAAAAAAAAAACGCTTAATTATTTTGTAGCAAAATTAAACTTTTGTTCAGAAGTCTTATATGCTTGGCACGGTAAATATTTTCTTTAGGACTAGGATACCTACAGTTGGCGGTGGCTGCGGTCTTGAGGCAGACATGAATGAGGGTGAGCCTCTCATTGTTGCTTAGGAGGTTATCCACCGTCCATTTCACTGCCTGCTGAGCGTTCTTGTCATTGTCTATTGCGACCGCCGTTGCTGAAAAATCCCCTGAAGAACCCCCCGAACGAGAAGGAGATGATAATGTTGATAACGGCATTTTCACAGAGAGGGAGGGTGGAAGATAACAATGGAGGTTGAAGGGGAGAAAGAGGGAGAGAGGAGATGGATTCTCTCTCTCTCTCTCTCTCCTTCTCTTCCTCTTCCTCTCTCTTTCTTGAAGGTTTTTTGGAAGTTGTACGGAAGAGAAGAAATGGAGATGGTAACCGTCAAGGACCTGAAATTTTGTCTTTCTCCTGCATTGACGTTTTTGCCCCGTAGTATGGTTATTTTATCTGTGGTTAGTTTACTGCCACGTGTCGGTGGCAGCTCAAGTGGTGGGGGAGGGCGAAGACCGATTCTAGCAGGTCAACGGCTGAAAATGAAAGTCAACAAGCAAGTTTAGGACATTTCAATCTTGTTTGTAATTCCTTTTAGGCTTCTCCTTTTCAGAAACTCTATAAATTCTCCCTCCATTTGTGTATGTATGTTCTCTAAAGTTATGCTAATATTAAATTATTGTTTGTAATTCCTTTTAGGCTTCTCCTTTTCAGAAACTCTATAAATTCTCCCTCCATTTGTGTATGTATGTTCTCTAAAGTTATGCTAATATTAAATTA